TTAACAGTGAAATAATTCCCAATTATTCTCAAGGGCCACTTGTCCTAACTATGTATATATAAAAGAAAGAGTAAGCATGGCAAAACTATAATTCTAAGATTTTAGAATTATAATTCTAGGACTTTAGAATTATTTCAAGTGGTGGCTATGGCTGTAAAAAAGAAAAAGGGAAAGAAAGGAATATAACCACACCATCCTAGGAATTCTAACACATTTGTAACGGGCATTTTAATGTGATTTACAGTCAAGCAATCCTGGAGTCATCCGACATCACAATCTCTCTCTTTTCCACTTTCAGTGATGTTACAGCCTGCAAAGGGTGGGAGATGGTTTTGGCTTTTTGTTTTCCCTCAGAAAAGGCAAGGGAGCCGCCACATTATATTGAGGCTCCTCAGACATTTTCCACAACTCTACTCAAGAGACTGTCATGAAAAACTATGACAGTTTTCTACTTCAGATGACTGGGCTTGCATCTGAGAATGTACTAATTTTAAATGGAATTGCCAGACGTTGCAAGCCTACCATATTTTCAAGAATGAAATTGCACACAAGGGGATAGAATTACTGGATTATTGGACAATATTCCTTTGGAAGCTCAGAATAAAATCTCATTGGATATAATTTTATTCTTCTTTCTGTTAAGTTTATAGAAAACTTGCTTTCTTGATTTTAATTACCAGAACATGTTTGTTCCTCTTGTTTCCTTCATCCATCATAAAAATATCTTGAGGACCTCAACGGACGCTTAACAAATGTGCCAGGAATTTTGAAACATTCTTTACCCTCTTTTTTACATATTCTTAGAAACTAAATTGTACAATATATAATCTTACAATCAAATTGTAACAATTCTTTCCAAATTACGAAATTATGAGTGGCAGACTGGGCTTGCATCTGAGTCTGTACTTATTGTAAATGGAATTGCCAGACGTCGCAAGCATACCATATTTTCAAGAATGAAATTGCATTCCAGATCCTTCTGGAGAAAGGTCTGAAGCTGTTAGAACAATCTTTGCTTTTATATTAACAAAAGGCTATTATGGCAAGTCATATTATGCATTGGAGACTGTCCAATTCAATTGCAGATGAAATATTTCTCTATGATTTTGGGAGGGGAACTGTGAGATTAGTATCATCTAAGTTCAAATTTTCCTTGCCTGCTTTTTTGCCTCAAAGTAGGATTTTAAACAATTCTAAGGGCCAAACTATGTGGGATAGCAGGTGACATCAGCAGAATCAGATCTGCGGCTAAATTCAGTGGTAAGTTGATAAAATGACATATAGATAAGCAGGAATGGAGAGTTAAAGTCTACTACTACTATCCATTTTTTCACTCTGGATGTTTAAAGCCATTTTTCTCCTACTGGAGTTGCAGAACTAAAGCAAATCTGGCTGAGAGAGAAACACTGAAAATACAGTTACTGCTCAGAAGGTTAACTCACCTGATGGCCCATGCCTGGGTTACATTACCCCTGATCCTCATTTTAAGGAATGAGCTGCTTCCAGTATGCATCTTTCTACTATCAAGTCTAGTTACATCCTTGCAACTATTTTTTTTTAGATTTTTTTCCCTGCCTTTCTTATTTTTACAAATAACTCAAGGTGGCGAACGTACCTAATATTCAATTTTCCCCACAACAACAACCCTGTGAGGTGAGTGGGGCTGAGAGAAAGTGACTGGCCCAAAGCCACCCAGCCGGCTTTCATGCCTAAGGCAGGACTAGAACTCACTACCTCCTGCTTTCCAGCCTGGTGCCGTAACCACTAGACCAAACTGGCTCTCAGCTTTCAAAGTTGAAGTAAAAGCCACCTTTACTTATTGTGAAACAAAGGCATCAACTGAAAGCAGTATGATGACACAAAGTTCTTGAGATTAAATATCTTCATATTTTTCTGCTGATTACTTGCCTTCCAATTTTAATGGAAATTTAATGGCTTTTTGCAAGTGATCATTCCCTTTCCTTTGCTAAAAACGTAGCTTGTTCTACGCACAGGAATCTCTGAACTGAGATAGATGGGCCCTAAGCTATATTGTGCTAAATGAGAAGTGTGTCATTGCTTCTGAAAAGATCAATCAATATTAGGCTGCTAGGGTAAAAATTCTCCCTATGAATATTAGGACAAGTCCATGGATGTCTGCTTCCCTGAACGGAACATGTATTTTTATTAAAGACTTGGGTGAGGAAGTAGAGGGAGGGACTGTAAAATTTGCAGGCAACTCATAACTGGGCAAAATAGCTAACATGACCTTAGTAAGTTAGAGAAGTGGGTTGAAAATAACAGCAGAAAAAAAGGAAACATGCTAAGTTGGGGTAATAGTTGATACCAAACTGGGTAAAAGTCAGTAGTTTGTGGTGGGTGCAAAACCTCTCACAAAGTTTAGGGTTTGTCCACTAAATCAAGGGAGGTAATTCTTGATCAGATCGCACCTTGGATATTGTATCCAGCTCTCGGTACCACACTTTAAGAAGTATTCAGAGAAAGGCAAGGAAGATGAACCAGGATTAGAAACCAAGTCTGATGAAGAAAGACTGAAACCGATGGGAGCGTTTAGCCTTGAGAAGAGAAATCTGAGAGGGGATAGGATAAGTTACTTCCAGCATCGAAAAAGATCTCATGCAGAACAAGGCTAGATTTCCTCTCTACGACTTTAAAGGTCAGCTCATGGAATAATGGACGTATGTTACAGAAAGGCAGACTCTGGCTAAAAGTTAGGTGAATTCCCCTAACAGTAATTAAAATCTGACAGAGGATATGGGTTCCACTGGATGTGTTGAGACAGTGGCTAAACAACTATCTGTAGTAGACACTTTAATTTGGAGGCCTGCATGGAGGTTGGGCTCAATGTGCCCTTCCAGTTTAGTGATTCCATGAGACAATGAGAATCTTGAGACCTAACCTGGACTGATTCTGACATGGCAGCAATGTAGTCAGTCTTAGTATAGCCAGAAAGGGCCATCTATTCCTGCTTTGATGATTTGATCATAAACAAAGTTATTAATGTGTTACCTCAATATAAATGTTTACATTAGCTTCCTTTCACATGAGTATTATATTCATTTCATGCACAGGTTTTCCATGTAGACCCAAATAAATAAGATAAAATGTGTTCTGATATCCCTGACACTTGACTTGGAGGGCCTCTGTACTTTGCTACAGCCTTAGTCTTATGTTTCTAGTCTTTGAATAAAGTGTTGCCGTTCTGCCCTGTGAGTCCTGTTTCTTTATACCGGGCTCCTCAAACTTTTTAAACAGGGGGCCAGTTCACGGTTCCTCAGAATGTTGGGGGGCCGGACTATAGTTTGAGGAGAGGAGGAGAGCCGCCAGACCTGGCATACCTGTCATGTAGAATAGTCCAGCTCTGAGATCTCCCTCCTCGTGCATCACCTGCAGCTCCCGACAGAGCCCCGACACTTCCACTTCTGACAGACAGCAGTGGCGGCCAATCAGGCGGGTGGGCCGGATAAATGACCTTGGCGGGCCATATCCAGCCCGCAGGCCATACTTTGAGAACCCCTGCTTTATACAATCACTCTCTCCTAGACTCTAAGCAGAATACCAGACTGATAATATCTCCAGTTGCTCCCCCAACCAGCAATAGTGACTAGGCTCATGCACTGTATGAAGCAATCATTTATTTAACTATGGTCATTGAATAAACTTCTACCAATAGGTTGCTCAAGTGCCATTTGAAGAAGCCCTGGACATTTTCTGCCATTATTTTATGGTCAATAACAAAATCATTACTTTTTTTTCCATTGGCAGTTGACATTCTTTATATGTAGTCTTTTTATATAGTAGTATTTTTTTAGCTCTTTTAATATGGATATTCATATTTTTACTGTTTGTAATGTTTGATTTTAATTGTGAACCACCCAGAGTCACCCTCTGGGGGAGATGGGTGGCATATAAATTTAATAAATCAATAAATCAATACAATACAATACAATACAATACAATACAATACAATACAATACAATACAATACAATACTCAATTTAAGGTTATAATATGAACAAAGCCAAGAAGAAGTTGA